CCGCCGGCGCCGGGGCACTGCCGCAGCTGCTCCATGTCCCCCAGGGTGGCCAGGTGGAGAGGCAGGGGGCTGACGTGCACCAGGTGGTGCCAGGTAGCCTTGAGTTATTGCTGACAGGCTTGCAACAGCAAGTCCAGAAAGTGGCAGCCCCCAGGGCAGCCAGGTGGAGAGGCAGGGGGCTGACGTGCACCAGGTGGTGCCAGGTAGCCTTGAGTTATTGCTGACAGGCTTGCAACAGCAAGTCCAGAAAGTGCACCAAAAAGTGCAGGGCGAGCTCTGGCTCCATGTTGCCACCTGCGGCGGCGTCCCCGAAGGGAAGCACCGACACAGACGGGCACAGAGACCAACGCTTTGCTGTCCCTCGGCGAGGTTGGCAAGCAAGCAGGAAAAGCTGAGAACCGGCTGTCCAGGGGGGTCCCTTTAAGCACGAGACTCAGATAGCCTCAGACAGCAGCCACACAAAGCAACTACTGACCTGATGCCCTGCCAGAACCGGTTTCAGCTGCCCTTAAATGCGCCCCTGCGTCCAATCAGTGTGGACGCGCTAGTTCGAATTAGCAAAACGCTAATTCGAACTAGTTTTTAGGTCTAGCTGTGTTAGTTCGAATTAGCTTAGTTCGAATTAGTTAGTTCGAATTAGTGCTGTAGTGTAGACGTACCCTGTGAGAAGCCTGATGTGGTGTGACTTTAAGTTAAAGTAACCTTTTCTCACAAAGTACAGTTTGTCTGGGTGGCAAGACAGTCTGGAGAGACTAAGGAGTCTGTCTTCACTGGAAGACTGGAATAGTGATCCAGGAGTTCACATTTCTTAGTGACTTGGTGAAGACAAATGATAGAACACACCGCCAGCTTGTCCTTGTTTTCTGACAATCTGCCCTGAGATGGACACTCACAGTTGTGAGCTATGCCACAGAGTCTGGCATAAATGTCTAAAAGAGGGACAGATGCCAAATTATTTTATATACAGCCAAGTCTAATACACTCAGGTCAAAACTGAACATGGTGTACTGCTTCTTTCAGAAGGAAAATTGGTTTCGTTTTTTACTTTTTTACTTGGTTAATGAATAGCTACATATATGGTACCAGCACACAAAGTACAAATTTCAATTGCCATGAACAACACCCAAGACAGAGAACTTCCTGAAAGCCACAATCGATGTACAACATGTAGCAGGTGGAGACAGGGACGTGTTCCACCTTCTTTATAATGTAAAGCAAGGTCCCCATTTGGTGTAAATTGTCACAGCTCAATTGATCAACGTGAAGGATCTGTCCTACGTAATGTTACTGCAATTTCTTAATAACTACCTTTTGTTTTGTTTGGCTTCTGTGTAGAACTCTGAACTTCTGAATCAAACTGTGACTTGGGTGCATTTAGAATAATCAACAAAGAGGTTAGTTAATAACTGAGATTCCAGCATTGCTCCCTTTCTCTTTCTTGTTAAGCAATAACACTGAAATATAATGTACTTGCCTTTCAAGAGCTTGGGAGAAAATCACAACATCTGCCCCAGCATGCTGACTTTTGTTAAAGTTTGTTGACCTACCACTCTTTTGAGTGTGTGCCCAGCAATGGATTCCTTGTTCCAGTGGACGAGAGCAATGCTAATACTGACTTTCCTAAAGACGCCCTGCTTGATAAGAGGTAAGCAAAGTTCTTTTTTCAATTTATTTTTATGAAGTAAATAATGATTTCTGGAAGATGAAAAAACAGAGGCAAAGGCAGTGTCAGGTTTCAGTATATGTGAATAGTGTCTAACATTTTCATTTCTCAGTACAGTGCAGCTCACTTCTTTATTCACGACAATGTGGAAAAAAATCATTCAATTCCATTTGCGTATACACTACATAAAATATTGACTGACTAATGTCATTCATGGGACGCCCCTAATCTCACGTCACTCTATGAAACTTCTAAATGTATTCAGAAACAAAAAAGGGTCCCCCCACACCCGCCATCAGGCAAGAACTGTGCTGCCTAATAAAAATGTAAGATATGTGTACATGTATGTTGTGGTGAAATATGTGTTCACAGATCAAGGAGAGGCTATTTCAGAGATTAGGACTTGAAGGCTGTAAATGCCATTTCTCACTGGTGTGGTTTATGTGTTAGGACACAATACTGAGTGTTAGAAGATCTAGGAACTATTCTTAACTTACCAGTAACTCTTTTTGTGACTTCAGACAGGTCAATTAATCCCTCTCTGTCCTGGATTCCTCATCAACAACTGGGTTACTAACAGTCACTCACCTTTCTAAAGCTTTTGTGCCTGAGAAAAGGCAACTAAAGCCCAAACATCTACACGGCAATTAGTCTCCACTTAGCTTGAACCCACAACCCCCACTCAGCTGATACAGACCAGCCATATATGTCTAATTACGGCATAGATATAACCATAGGAAGCTCTCAGCCACTGGAGAGCACTAGTCCAGCAACTCCTAGGAATTTGAATCACCCCAAAGTAACTGGAAAGGCTGCTTCACCTTTGGGGCACTTTTCAAGGCTTGTTGGGTCCTGCACAGCAAGCAGGTCCTGCACATTGCAAACAGGAGGCACATTGGAATATAGGATGCTGGGTGCTTGGCACAACTATATCTAATCCCACTGAACTGACTAAGGCTCCTCAGAAATCCAGTGACCTTCACAGGGGTAAAAAGTCTACATGGGGCCAAAAATCACATCCTGAAATGCCAATTTTATTGTTGTGTTGAACATTTACAAACTAAGAAAAAGCAGTAAAATTAATTGCAGAATCATTATGACTATCTTGCCTCACCACTAGGTGTTTCTATAACTTGAAGTTCATTTATTTCTTATTTATCTGAAATTAAAAAATGTGTATCTATAAATCCCTACAGGTGAATATAAAATCATTCCCCATGAGTCTCCAGTGATTGGGGTCATTGGAGAAGACATTATCCTTCCCTGCCAGGTGATAGCTGCAAATATCCCTGAGAACATCAGTGTCCATTGGCGACTGGTTACACTCCAGGAAAATAGAGATGTGAGCTCTTACAACAGAGGAAACAAAGAGGAAAAGGAAGATCTGAGATACCAAGGCCGCACAGAGTTCTTTCCCCATGAAATGAACATGGGTAACATGTCTCTAAAGCTGAAGAATGTGCAGGTCTTTGACATAGGGAATTACATGTGCCGAGTGGTTTCTGAGAACTGGTATGATGAGACCGAGATGGAAATGCAGGTAACAGGTCAGTGAAGATGATATTCAGACATTTAGTACCAGGCATTTTATTATTGATAGAAAGAGAGAAATAAATCAATTAAGTCTTTGTGAAGCTCTTTCACACTGAACTGGATTATCTCAGGGGCTATGTCTACACTATGGAGTTTTTGAGCAAAAACTTGTGGAACATCCATACCTCAAGCACATTTTTGCATAAGTAAATTTACGGTAAATCAAAAGAACAGAGGGATTTTTGCGCAATTGGTGAGAAATAACTATGAGAAATAACTCCCTTTTGTGCAATGTTCTATGAGAAATAACTCCCTTTTGTGCAAGAGCTCTTGCACAAAAAGATGTGTGAATGGGCAACGGGAGTTTTTTTGCAAAAAGAGACAATCAAAAAAAGCACAGGTGCTCTGGTGGCAATTCTGTGACTAGCAATCAGAGGTTTTTTTCTTAGGAGAGTGTCCATGGAGTCTGGACACTCTCTTGTGCTCTGATGCTCTTTTGCAGTGTGGATGGTCTCTTGCACAAGAAGTTTTTGCGGAAGATCTCCTCTGCAAAAAAGCTTCTTGCTCAAGAAGCCTGTAGTGTAGGCATAGCAGGGAGAGTTGTGAGAATGATTAGTGAATGTACAGAAATATTGAACCCCACAGTGAGAGACTAAAGAAATTCAGTCTATATAATTTAAATAAGAGAAGGTTAAGAGACAATTTGGGCACAGTTTATAATTACCTGGATGGGAAAGAGCTTCTACAGGCAGTCCCCGGGTTACGTTGATCCGACTTATGTAGGATCCCTATTTATGAACAGGGTGGGGCCCCCCCCAGCAGACCAGGGAGATGCGGAGCAGCAGCTTTTCTCGCCGCGGAGGACGCGGGCGGCGGGACCGCCAAGACACCCGGTCCTGCGCTGGGCTGCAGCCTCCGAGAATAAAGCTTGAGAATAAAGGACTGAGGGAAGTGAGGTGTGGGAGAATAAAACTGAGCTCTGGAGAAATGTTTGGCTAGAGTTTCCCCTACAATATGTCCCATTCCGACTTACATACAAATTCAACTTAAGAACAAACCGACAGTCCCTATCTTGTACGTAACCCGGGGACTGCCTGTATACTAGAACTTGAAGGGACCTTGAGAGGTCATCAAGTCCAGTCCCCTGTCCTCATGGCAGGACCAAGCACCCTCTAGACCAGGGCTACTCAACACACGGCCTGTTTGTTTGCGGCCCAAAGTGCAGTTTGGGTTGCCCCTGCCCCCGCCAGCTCCTGCAGCCCCCTGCTGTTGGACTACGATGGCTCGGTGCTGCCTTTCCCCAGGGGGCTGGGCGGCAGGTACCAGCAGACCCTGGTGCTACTCACTTGGATCCCGGCCCTTTTCATTGGCTTCAGCCAGTTCTCGGACTCCTTCCTGCTGGACCAGCCAGACTTCTGGTGCCTGCCTCCTCTGCGGTGAGAAAAGCCACTCCGTGTCTCCCTGGTCTGCTGGGGGTGGAGCGCTAGCTTCGCGTCTCCCTGGTCTGCTGGGGGGAAGCAGCTAGTGCCGGGTTGCCTCACCCCGTTTGTAAGTAGGGATCCGATGTAAGTCGGATCCATGTAACCCGGGGACTGCCTGTACAGAAAATGTACAATTACAGAAAATCTGCAAATGACAAAACTCTCTACATCTGTAAAGAATAAAGAGGACTGAGAAATGCTGTAAGGACTTACTCAGATTGAAAGACTGAGCATTGCAAGAGTGGATTACATATACTATTCTAAAAGAAAGATAATGCACACCAGGAAGAATAGCATAAATTCAATACATGTGGAATGCTTTTTAGTCGCAGGGACAAAGGCAAAACTAGATCAGCTCCCTTAAAATTGAAATTAGCAAAATTGGAATTGGAAATAACAAATAATTCTAAATGTTACCAATGAAGGCAAATAACTATTGGAACAGATTCCAAACCTATTTGATCTTTTCTCGATCCTTCTTGCATCAAAATTGATCATTTTCCCTCCAAAGGATACCACCAAAAGCTAGTAGTCTCAACTAAGAAAAATTAAGGTGAAATTTTTTGGCCTACATTAATGATCCCTTCTGGCTTTTGAAACTATTGAATTGATTTCAAATTGATCTCAAATACTTATTGCCTTGGACTGGGGGGTATACCTCTAAAGAGAATTTTTTGTCATTCAATTGCCAATATAGACATAGCAGAAGAAAGAATCCACACAGGATTTCAGCCCTCTTAGGAAAATAATATTTCTTGAGTCACTACCCCCTGCAGTGTCTTTGAGGCACAATATCTTTGTTTCAATTGCAAGGTACTCTGATGAACCTGAGTGGCGAAACCTATACAAAAGCTCAGGGGGAAACAGAGCCTGGGAAGGTCCCTTTGATCAGTTCCCAGGTTTGATAGACCTCACAAGCTGTTTTTTTTTAAATATTTTACATCAGGTGCTGTGTTTAAGGGAGAAATACTCAGAGTCGAGTCATTTGTGCAAAGCATAAAAAGTTGAAATCTTTTTTTTTACTCCCTTTTTGTAGCTAGGGGTGGTGAATCTTCTATTTTCCTGGAGCACTATGCAGGACAGGGGATCAATCTTGCCTGCAGGACTGAGGGATGGTTCCCGGAGCCCCGGGTGCTCTGGCTAGCCAGTAAAGGAGAAAACCGAACAGAAAAGAAGACCACCATCTATACAAAGTCACCTGCTGGTACCTACAACATTGAAAGTTCCATTCACATAGAACCAGGGTCAAATAATGAAGTTTCCTGCAAAATAATCAACAATGTCCTAAATTCATCCAGTGAATCCAGAGTTCTGATTTCAGGTGAGTGCACATTGTGGTTAGATACTGGAATCAATGAAGCTGCATGATTCATGAGCTGGATCCTTTTTTTTTCTTTCCTTTTGTGAGAAGAGATAAATGCCCAGGAGCTGACTGAGAAGAGAGATGGATCACTGGGTTAGGATCCAGGAGGCCAGAGTTCTATTCTTCAATATAATGCTGACTTATTTATTGACACTAGGACAATCACTTTCCTGATCATGCCTCAGTTTCCCCACACATGAGGACAATGACATTGATCTCCACTGTAAAATGTGTTGAGGTCTGTTGTTATCAGAGCAAGGGGATAATCTTCTTTTAAATGTGTATTTTTCAGTTTGCAGCAAAAACCCATTTTGTTGAGTCTGAGTTTAAGTTAAAAACTCATAAATTGCACAGATACATTTTAAAGTGTTTTCTTTCTACCTAATGATCCAGTGCTCTAATGGCTTTCTTTGCACACAAATATATAGCAAAGCTGCCTGGCATTTTCAATGTTAGTAAAAGAAAGAGAAAACCCTTTTATTCAGTGTACTGGTTCATGATTGAAAAAAAGAGCAAAATTAAGATGGTGCAGTTAACTTTCATTTTGGTCTCTCTCAACTCTTACGTGCTTAATTTTTCAGCATTAATAGTATTTTAACTTTCCATTATTATTTAATGGTAAATTGATTGATTAGTCCTTCCTCCTCCTTTGGAGCCCTCACTCAGGGAACTTTTCCCATTTATGTCTGTTGAGTGCAAAGATTCTTTACTGAGTTCAGACATTGCCACTGACTTGCTTCATGACATCAGAGAAAATGCTTAATTAGATGCAATAATATTTATCCCATCTACCTCACATGGCTGTTGACAGAAATAACTAATATCTGCACATATGATACATGCCTCATCTCACTAACCATAGCAACAGCACCAAGGATAATAACATTAGGTTCTCTGCCTCCTTTTCTCTGTAGAGGACCTGTCTACTTTTCTTTCTATTTGACATTATTTCTGGTGAGAATGGTCTAACAAAGGGATATATATTGTATTTTTCCTCACAGGCAGCAGCAGTGGTGCTAATGATGTGGTTTGGGAATGGTTGTTGACATAGTTACAAGCTGGGGACCAACTGGTTAAGTAGTAGTTCCGCAGAAAAGGACCTGGGGGTTACAGTGGATGAGAAGCTAGATATGAGTCAACAGTGTGTCCTTGTAGCCAAGAAGGCTAATGGCATATTAGGTTGCATTAAGAGGAGCATTGCCAGCAGATCCAGAGATGTCATCATTCCCCTTTATTCGGCTTTGGTGAGGCCGCATCTGGAGTATTGTGTCCAGTTCTGGGCCCCCCACTACAAAAAGAATGTGGACGCACTGGAGAGGGTCCAGCGGAGGGCAACCAAAATGATTAGGGGGCTGGAGCATATGACTTATGAGGAGAGGCTGAGGGACTTGGGTCTGTTTAGTCTGCAGAAGTGAAGAGTGAGGGGGGATTTGATAGCAGCCTTCAGCTTCCTGAAGGGAGGTTCCAAAGAGGATGGAGAGAGGCTGTTCTCAGTCGTGACAGATGGCAGAACAAGGAGCAATGGTCTCAAGTTGCGGTGGGAGAGGTCCAGGTTGGATATTAGGAAAAACTATTTCACTAGGAGGCTGGTAAAGCACTGGAATGGGTTACCTAGGGAAGTAGTGGAGTCTCCATCCCTAGAGGTGTTTAAGTCTCAGCTTGACAAAGCCCTGGCCGGGTTGATTTAGTTGGGATTGGTCCTGCCTAGAGCAGTGGGCTGGACTTGATGACCTTCTGAGGTCTCTTCCAGCTCTATGGTTCTATGATTCTATGATACAGCCTTATGACAGGCCCCCGCACCTGCATTTGCATCTGATGAGACCCCATCAGAGCTATGCTCCCCTCCTGGAGCATCAGCTCACAGACACCTACTCTCCCCACCTCTAATATCATCAATTCACAGACACTTACCTTCCTTCCTTCCCCCTCCCCCCGCATCCCCCTCCTGTTCTAAAATGTGATTTGTCCTGTTCATATGTGTTCATTTTTTTTACTTGTATCCTTTGGTATATATGGTTGTGACTATTTTCTTCCACTATTTGATCTGAGGAAGTGGGTCTGGCCCATGAAAGCTCATCATCTAATAAACCATCTTGTTAGTCTTTAAAGTGCTACATTGTCCTGCATTTTACTTCAGCTACCCCAGACTAACACGGCTACATTTCTATTACTATCTTACTCATGTGAGCCATGAAACTTTGATGTTTCTATGTACTTGAGTAGGGTGAGCAGCATATGGAGGAAGGGGTGTGATTTTTCAGAACACATGGAAGAATATATGGGCAATGGCTTTCTTCCCTCTGATATCTGGAAGATGTGCAAACTCTATGGATCTAAATTCATCTAGACTTTGTTCTGACAAAAAAAGACATCCGTCTCTAAATTCAAGTGAAATGTGATGTTAGTAGGTCCTCTGAGATGTTCTGGTTGGTTGGCTTTAATTTTGAAGTTATTTCTTTAGAATGAGGAGAATATTCCTGATGTTTTCTCATATTTTTCAGATGTTTTCTTCCCTACCATGTCCCCTTGGATGACTGCTTTCCTGGTCTTTTTATTTCTTAGCATAATTGTTATTATGGCTGTAGGGTATAAATTGAAAAGTGAGTATTTCTTTTTATTTTATCTTTAAGTATGTGAAAATATTAACAGAGCTTTTATGGAAATTTATAACTAATGTTGAATTGAATATTCATTCAGGAGGTGAAATATAAAGTTTTGTAAAGGGTAATTCCTTACATTAGGGGTCTTGTGTGTTTTATATTCTTCATATATAAATGTAAAAAAAGTTAGAATTAACACCAATGGACAGTTCAGGATTACAAACCTAGCATTCATGCCAGTGATTTCTTTCCACCAAAACTATTGTGGGATGTTATGAAAAGTGCCTTATTTTCAAAGAGCATTTTAATTTTTTTTCAGAAAATAATGACACAACATCTCACTCAGGTAAGTAACTGGGCAAGTGACTGAAAATTAATATGAACATATTTTATAATTTTGATTTTAATCCTTTAATCCTGTGGAATTGGGACTGGATAACATCTCAAAGTCTCTTCCAGTCCCTACATTTCTATGATTCCAGAAGAAAAGGTCAAGAGAGTAGTTGGTGTTCTGATGTGAGAAGCTGTTGATGTCACAAGAACCGGGAGGGTTTGTTCTATCTTAGCTGTGGTCAACAGCTCGGTGCTTTTAACGTTTACAATTTGCAGCCAGTCTTGTAATAAGAGTTGGGGTCTATATTCAAGCATTGAGCAACAGTGTTTATTGCCATTGGTGGCTCATCAGGAAAGTTTTTTTTTTCTCACATAAACAGATCTTGTCATTAAGGCTTTGTCTAGACTGCAGGCTTCTTGTGCAAGAAGCTTTGTTCGGAAGAGATTTTCCAAAAATACCTCTTGTGCAAGAGAGCGTCTATACTGCAAAATCACATCAAAAAAGTTATGTGCTTTTGTGAACAAGAAAGTCCAGACTGAAGGGACACTGTCTCTCATGTAAGCAGTGATTGCTATGGACAGAATGGCCACCAGGGCACCTGTGCTTTTTCCTCTTTCCTCTTCTTCCAGAAGAACTTCCTTTTCTCTGTCCACACACACCTTTTTCCAAAAGAGCTCTTCCGGAAAAAGGCTTCTTCCTCATAGAAGGAGGAATGCCAATGCCAGAAAAAACCATCTGTTCTTTCAATTTTCTTGTGGAAGAATGCACTTGCAGTGTGAACATTCCTCAAGTTTTGCTGGAAAAATGGCTGTTTTCCCAACAAATCTCTGTAGTGTAAATGTACCTTAAAAGAGATCCCATGCAGACGATGCTTCTGCTAGTCATTCTTCTGTGGGCCTTCCATGGTATTGCTACAGAATCATTAAAAGTTGCAGAATGGGGTTACTCATGTACATGTAGAAATTACTTACAGTTCCCAATGCACACTGGGTAAAGTATCAAATTCAAAGCATTTTGTAAAATATTCCCTGGAAACAGGAGAGATTACCTCCAGCTGGTTAGTTGGGAAGTATATGTAGGCATAATAGATTTGCTCTTGGTCCATGAGATTCACTGAGCACTAAGGCAAGATCTGGACTTTCTCAATAAGCTGGTTAATAATATAGCTACTCTGATCACTCATTTCCCTTGTGGGTATTCATGGCATTTCCTAGGAGTTTCAAGATTCCTTTAAATTTATCTGGTAAAAAAGCTTTCTCAGTTAACATTTCATTTTTGTCTTTTTTTTTATCGGTGTGTGGGTCCCTTTTAGTTCAATTCATATACACTTTACTCTTCTGGTTGCTTTATTTTTGTGTCTTCCTAAACTTGGGTCTGATGCTCCTCTTATCTACCCCGGTAATTCCACTAATAAATATGAGAGCCTGTTCACTGATGCCTTTGTTTAACTAAGTCAGTCACTGTACTGCTGACTCAGGTTTCGCTGAGACAAAGGACCTTCACATGTATCCTGATATTTTCACAGAGGATGGGCCATCAACTGTTCTATGTGGCCAGATTCTCTGCATAATCAGAGGCCTGACAGAAACCATCTTTCATTCAATGAGAGTGTGTCTACAGTGCACCATCATTTCAAGATAACAATATGAACATCCACACAGCCAGTCTGTTATTTCAAAATAATTTTGAAATAACTGATGGCTCATTCCACAAGGAATAATGCCTATTCTAAAATAGTTATTTCAAAATAAGGCATGTGTAGATGCTCCTCTGCTTCTATTTTGAAATATCTCCTCCCAAGGCCATTCAGAATAACTACTTCCTAGTGCTTCCGGGGGGCTCTAAATCGAGATAGCATGTCTACATTAGGGGAGCCTGCCCTGGACTAAGTTTGAAACTTCCTAAGGTATAGACATGATATTTTGAAATAAGTTATTTTGGAATATAACTATTCTGGAATAGCTTACTTTGAAATAGTCATGCATTGTAGATGTGCCCTGAATGAGCAG